CAAGCGGCGCATATCAAAATTGCAAACAGTCAATTGTATGAGGATCTGCCTGGTCAGTGGATTCCCTATCATTATGGGCCTCTCGACCCGCGTCTGGTGAGCACTTCATAAAAATAAAGAAAGAAAAGATTTTGACTACTATCTTCTTTGTAGGGGGCTGCATCGAAGCTGGGACAATGCGAGACTTGCGGAAAATGGCTTGCTGATTGTATTGGGCATTTTGGATACATTGATCTCGCATTTCCTATATTTCATGTTGGTTTTTTCAAATTGACGATACAGCTGCTTCAGTGCATTTGTAAGGTGAATTTTCAAAATTCTTATTTTTAAAGGAAATCTGGTTTTCTTACATTGTACTGCTTGATTTCAGAGTTGCTCTGGATTACTACTACGAGGCGATCAGAGAGCTAATTACCTACGATTGGCTTCCAACCCTAACCTGGATTATTTGGGAAGGAAAGCTCTTCATAAAAATATCGTGGCGATATGTAAAAAGACAAATCCGTGTCCCAAATGTGGTCGTCATAATGGTATTTTGAAGTTTCTTATGACTTTTGAATATTCGAACTTTGTTAAATGTACAAATATTTTTGAAAATAAGCGTAAGAACGTTTAAAAAATTGTTGATTTGGTTCTGTCGACGAAAACTATAGGTAAAATGTGTGGCTGAAGTTGTAACCCACTCGTGCTTCTTGAATTTTGCGTCATGGTTATGTACTGCTACAGAAATAAGCACTTCAAAAAGATTCATAGCAAAAAAATTTCGTTTTCTATTCCAGGTACGGTCAGAAAGGCGCCAGGGGCAATCTTGAAGATTACTTACGCGTTCAATATAAATGAGGAAAATGTCAGGAAGCTATACAATTTAGCTAACTACAGATTGAAAAATACTTATCAATAAAATTATTTTTTGCAGGCTCAAGATTATGCTACAGCCATAAAAGCCAACTCCGAACTATCAAAACTTTTGTCCAAAACAAAGTACACTCTTTTGAATCCTCTAAAAGTTCAGAAATTGTTCAATAACATCGCAGAAGAGGTGAGTTTAGACTTAATAATTAGTTCTACTAGAACTACCCTACTGTCTTCTAGGACATCCCCATTTTAATGGTTCATTCTTCTGGAAATGAACATCCTACCGACCTATTGCTTACGAGATTACCCGTCCCTCCAGCATGTATACGTCCATCGGTGATATCAAGTTAAAGAAATCTTTTCTTAACAAGGTGATAAGGCATAGAGAAATGTTGGAAGCCTTGGGACAAGTTTCCATTCCAACCTCGCTTGTCCAAACTGCTATTGTATCATTTGAGGACACATCTATTCCCTTTTGTAGTAGTTTTTCATATTCCAGAACTTAAATCTGGGACAACTGAAGATGACCTTACAATGAAACTATCGGAGATAATTCTTATCAATAATGTGCTACAGAAGTATAAGAAAGATGGTGCTCCCATAAAAGCACTCACTGAAGCATGGGATCAGTTACAGGTCAGCTGGTTGATCTGATTAACTTATAGTGTTTGAGTGTTTTTTCTTTACAGATACATGTTGCCTTGTATCTCAACAGCGAACTATCCGGCCTTCCTCCTGAACAGCGGCCCAAAGAGGTTTTTGTCCCTGAGATTTTTAGAAATACTGATTGTAGGTGAGGTAAAGATTTTCAGCCACTACGT